CCCATAGTTACATTTCAGTCACTAGAGCTACCACAACTAAAATTACATTTCATGTATTCAGTTTTAATTATACTCAAACGAAGGTCATTAAACTCCAAGGTAGACCTCAATAATTCATGTTTTTCCTCAACTTTTTCTCTCATCTTATCCACGAGAAGAATATCATCAGCAAAAAACATACACCACGGAGTGTCCAGTACGATCATCCATAACTAAAGCAAAAGGCTATGTGCTTAAAGCCGATCCCTGATGTAAACCAACAAAAATAGGAAAATATTTGGTTCATCCTCCTTCTATTCGACATAAGTAACGGCTCTTGTATACATATCTTTCATGACTTGAATATAAGACGTATCAACAACTTTCTTCTAAAAACTCTCCAAAGGATATCTCTTGGAACCTTATCGTAAGCTTTTTCTAAATCAATACAAAACATATATAGATCCTCCTTATTATCTCTGAATATCTCCATCAAACCTCTCAATAAATGTAGAGCTTCCATGATAACATTGCCCAAAATAAATCCAAATTGATTACGAGAAATCTTTATAATACGTCTTAACCTATGTTCAATTACCCTCTCTCATAATTATAAAGTATGACACATCCACTTAATTCCTCTATAACTTACATACTCTTGAGCATCCCCTTATTCTTAAAAATGGAGACCAAAATACTTTTCCTCCACTCGTCACGAGTCTTTTTAGTTTTTAAAATAATATTAAAGACTTTAATAAGACAAAAAACACCCAAATCTCCTAAATATTTCCACACTTCAATTGGAATATCATTAGGCCCTATAGACTTTCCACCCTTTATTTTTTTTAAAGTCTACTCAACTTCTTTTTTACTAATGTGACGGTAAAAATGAAGTATTTTATTATTATTAACAATATTAAGATCACTAAGATCGATCGTATTTTCTGAACCTTCATTAAAAAAATTATCAAAATAACTCACCCACGTGTTTTGAATATCTTTTTCTAAGAAAAACAATTTTTTATTGTCATCTTTAATACATTTTACTTGAGTTAAATCTTTACTTTTATTTTATCTTTGTTTGACTAGTTTATACAATATATTTTTCACCCTACTTAACATCAACTCTATTATAAAGATCACTAAAATTAGAATTTTTAGCACCACAAATTGTTTTCTTAGACTCCCTGCGGGTCGTTTGATAATTTTCTCAGTTCTCTAAGCTTTTACAATTAAACCAAATTGTTTTCTTAGACTCCCTGCAGGTCGTTTGACAATTTTCTCAGTTCTCTAGGCTTTTACAATTAAACCAATTTTTATAACATAACTTATTGTATTTTATTTTTTCTTTCACATTATTAATTTTTTATTTATAGAAGCTTTTTCTTTTGATTCTCCAAGTTTTATTCATAGAAGTTTTTTCTTTTGATTCTCCAAGTAAAACTTTTGTTACTTGTTTAATAGTGTTTGTTACTTTATCCCACATAGAATTTGCTCCTTCATGAACATCCCAAATTTTGAAATCTTGAATTTTACTCATATGAATAATTTTACTTGTCTTTTAAGTACCCACATATAATTCTACAATGATGATTCCTAATATTCTTTATTTTACAACTCTTCATTTTAAAATCTAGAACTAATAATCGATGTTGAGTACTTCACAATCGTGCAATAAGAAAAAAATTATAGACATTATGCGGGAGGTTATTCTCATCAATAATCTTTGGGTATAAACTGTCATGAATTATTAGATATTTTACTAAATTCTACTCTCTCTTCATTCATTTAAAATAATATCTAGAATGCCCCTACACTGTTGCGGCAATTAATATAAATTTCTTGCATAATATAAATGGACTGAAGTTTACATCAGGTAATGATTGTATTCTCTTTTTATTTGGATAAGTTTGGTTTATAGGATACATGTTAGCTTGCGAAAACATATTTGGCTTAAAAGCTTGTCGAGCAAGTTATCTCTACACATTTAAATCTAGTGGAACCTAGTACAACTTCATGAAGCTATTTAATTGTAATTTTATCTGCCAGTAATTATAATTTGTTAGTTTGTAAGGCGGCCATTACAAGTATGATGAAATATAATGAAGCCTGATTGATAGGAGAGATGTTTCAGTGGAGATAATTTTGTAAATTGGGGCTCTTAGGGGCTTTTTTAGCTATGAAGATGATGGGAATAAAGGGGGGAAATGAAATGTTTTATTTGGGGTATTAAAGAGTAAATAAAATAAATTAGGTGTTAGAAAAGTAAATTCTAATGTTTCAAGTGTCTTGTATGTAAATAACCCAAAAAAATAATTGACCAGTTTTTTTGAAAGAGTTCTTTAAAAAATCTGCTTTTTGCGAAAAAGAATTCTGCAACTATTTTCACAGATATATTTGCATAGCTGTGACTGTTTGTAAAAATAGTTATAAATAATGTAGGAAAAAAAAAATATATATTTTTAATAAGTAGCATTTCCTATTAAAAAAGGTCTAACAAATCTGGTTGCTAAAAGTTGTTTCCAACCACAAAACCAAACAGACCCAACTTATGCACAATATATTAATAGATGAAAACACAATAGCCGTAAATTTAATCTTAGAGAGAAAGAGTCCGCTACTATATCATGTTAAAAAATCAACTCTTATTTTCACTTTTGAGATTATTTTCATCCTCATGCATATCTCAATATTAAAAGAATATATAAACAAACAAAGGGATTTGTTTCTAGGATGAGTGACAGAGGGAAAATAACAGCTATTAGAAAAACAATCATACCTCACATCTGATAATTAAATGGTTACAAAAATGGCAAAGAAGTTAGTATAAGATTTTATTTTAGGAAGAGTTAAGCGCATGCCACACAGTTCCTATGTATTTACATGTCTAACACCAAAACTTTAATCTTTACATCTATACCGCTTTGCTCCAATTTGAAAATGTATACTATGGTTTTAAAAAAAGCTAGTAATGGTGGTATTTTCGATGTGATGTAAAAATCAAAATTTAGGTTCTGGATATGAAAATACATAGGAATTATGTGGTATTTCTGTCAATGCCTCTTTATTTTATAAAAGCAATTAATATCTCTCTTTGCCGCAGATCAAAATAAAAATAGGAAACATTTAGATGGCTAAGCATAACAATTTGTCCAAAATACATCCACTTAAACACTTAAATATCATAAATGCTAAGAGGCACCTGAATCTAAGCGCAATTGAAAACCCAAAAGTGGTGAAAATTTGATTTTGCAAATACATGGAATGGAAATAACAGTAATGAAAATCACAACAGAAAGAGCACCAATAATTCCAGTAGCAGCTAAATACTCTTTATACAATTCCTAATTATCCAATGCTGCCTCCAACGAAGAACATGCACGGACCTACTATTATGAAGGCATGCAGACATTGACTCAACTGTACGCCCTTCTAAAGTAAGAGGTGTGAGACATACAAGGGAAAAAAGAAAAAAATAGGCCGTTCAAACAACATGAGAATCTTTAAAAGTCACCTCACACATTGTGCAAGTATCGATGCAGACAAGCTAGACATTATGAGATATTTCAAAAAACAAAAATATATTACTTCTTTTCACTTTCTTACTATCTATGCCATGAAAGAAGGTTTGATAAACTTCAATTTTTGAATCCCTACAACACAATCCAGCCTTAGCAATGCATTCAGACATGTTCAGGATTTTTAAAATGTATCTTCACTATTTTATAAACTATCTAACTTATACAACATATCATGAATCGACACGAAATACACTTGCTTCAAAAAACTAAAAGCAACATTTAGATACATGCCGCCCAATTCTTATGTATTTACATTTGTAACACCTAAAATTTGCTTTTTTTACATTTATACAACCCAAATCTTTCATGTAGCATAAGAAATACCATAATTTTAAGTTTTTTAAAGAGTGAAATACACATTCTCATGCATAAATAAGGCGGTATGTATGTATATGTTAAAGTTTAGGTAATATAAATGTAAATGCATAAGAATTGAGTGGATTGTACGTAAATATTCCGAAATATTGCTAGAAAAAATTCACATTGCAGTAAAATAAACCTTGTAAATCTACAAAAATTTCACATATGTGCATAGCTACAATACCTATCTGTTGATACATATTTCAACTCTACAATAAAATTTAAACCTCACATGTTAGGCATAGAGAAAAAATTCTCAAATTTCAACCATGGCTTGCGAAATCTTCCTAAACAGATAAAACATAATACTGTAACAGATCCCTTCTCTCCAGAATCTCATCATCTACTAAAACTCAAAAAATTTCACTGATATGCAACATAATTATCAAGCTTGGACAGCAAAATCTACGGCCGGGTAAAACCTAATTACTGTTAAAAAAATAAGCAAATTTGCTATAAACCTTACAGAGAATGAAAAACAAGTAGAAAATTCGATGAAGACCATACCCTCAATCTATCGGATAATACGGATGGTGTAATCATCTTATACTTGGGAACTTCTGTAAGCATCTTATCATAGCTTGCTTGATCAAACAGAACAGCATTATTCACCTTCTCCTTTTGCTTTCCCTTGCTCCACTTCTGCACGCCCAAAAATAACAAATCACAACACGAACGGAAGATTTAAAATTAAAAAATAATATTTGCAGTTTGTTGGATATGGAAACTGGATCGCTGCGATAAACAAAATCCAAGCCAAAAAAAAAAAAAAGAGCAACACGGATGAAGGAAAGAATAACCAACCTTCTTCTTCTGCTTTCCTCCACCAGACTTCGCCGGCTTGGAGGCCGGAGGCGGAGCCTTCTCCTTCTTTGGCGCCTGGATGCGAAAAAACGTGAAATAGATCAAAATCTACAAAATAACGCTGCGGATTTTAAACATGACCGAGGAATAATTCATGTAGTATACCATTTCTTCTTTGAGACAACACAACAAGAGGGCTGGATCTCAGGAAGGACGGCAGCTCTTCTGCAACGAGGCGCGAGCGGCGTCTAATATAGCTGCTAGGGTTTTTCGGAGGAACGGAGGATTGACATAAATACCACTCTAACACTTAGTATTTACAAAAAAATCACCTAAACTAAATGCCACTCTCTATATTCTATATATTATATGTTTTTACATGATATAAAAAATTTATGCGGCATTAATTTTAAAAGTTAATATAATTATTTAAAATTAATATTTATCGTATATCATTTCTTCTTTGAGATAACGAGAGGGCTGGATCTCAAGAAGGACGGCAGCTCTTCTATAACGAGCGCGAGCGATCTACCAAAAGCTGCTAGGGTTTTTCGGAATGGAGGATTGACATAAATACCACTCAACATTTGAGTATTTACAAAAAAAAACACCTAAACTAAATGCGACTATATAATTGATTATAATTATAATTGATAAATATTAATTTTAAATATATATATTAACTTTTAAAATTAATGCCGCTTAAATTTTTTTATATAACGTAAAAATATATAATATATAGAATATAGAGAGTCGCAATTAATTTAGGTGCTTTTTTTTTTTGTAAATACAAAGTATTGAGTGGTATTTACGTTTAGACGCCGCTGGCGCCATCGTTATCGAAGGGCTGCCGTCCTTCCTGAGATCCAGCCCTCTCGTTGTCTCGAAGAAGAAATGGTATACTACATGAATTATTCCTCGGTCATGTTTAAAATCCGCAGCGTTATTTTGTAGATTTTGATCTATTTCACGTTTCGTTCCAACCCTAGTAGCTCATGTTCGATTCTAAGCGCAATTTCACGTTCGATTCTAGTGGCTCATGCTCGATTCTAGTAGCTCATTTCACGTTTCGTTCCAACCCGAGATCCAACCCTATTAGCACATTGTTTACTCATGTTTCTTTTGTATAATGAATTTTAGAAGTTATGATATCATGCATGATGCATCCCATCCATTACTCTTTTTTACTTTGAAGCTTAACTATTGTCTTATGGTCTTCTTCTTTTGTGCTATCAAATTATTGCTTAGAATGATTGTTGCTTATAATTATTCCGTTTTATTCTGTTGTTAGATCTGCTAATTCTCATCATGCATAAGCTCTCATTTTTAGGCCGTGGAAAAAGAAATTGGATGCGAGCTCCTAGAAACCTTTTGTAAACCTATGATTTTAGACCATTCAAATATCTAATTACTCAAATTGGTTCTCCAATTATTTTTTGTTAACTTGCCTTCTCCCCTTTTGGAATGCCATACGGGCCCCAATAATTTGTACCAAGATCTCTAACGTATCATGATTAGAAGTTGTTCTAAAATAATGCATAATAGAGTGAACATTTATTATATTATTGGAATAAGTGGAGGGGTAATTCCACCTTCCCCAATACCTTGGATAAAAGGCTAATCATTATGATGATGATTTAATCTCGAACATATTAATGTTGCTGTTGGAACATGATTTTGCTTGTTGAATTATCATTTTGGATTTTTGTAGATCACACCAAACTTGAAGTTGACCAGAAAATGTGTAGAGAGAGAAAATAGAGTGAAGAGTTTTATTAGGACTCAATCGGAGTAGAAGGATGGAGACAGACAAAAAGAATATATCCAAAAGAGCGAAGGAGAGTGGAAATATAGGAGATGGGAAGAAGAGAGTGAGGCCAAGTAGGAGAGGCATCACTTGAGCCGAAAACAAATGAGTATCTACTTGAACTGCCAAATCTACATAGTTAAATGTGATATGAATGTATATTTTATAACCGTATTCCTGTTTTTCACGTAAACATTGATACAATAAAATCCTAGAATCAATAGAATCCAGTCAACAGTGTAGAACTTGGTCGGGTTGATTGGACAATATTGCATGGGGATCCAAGCATTCCCATGACTGCAAATACTTATTAGAGATTTCATATGCGAGCTATTATCTGTTGGACATGAGATGCTTATTTATATTTTCACAGAATCTTTAAGGCATATAGTGAGCACGAGTTTCCATTTTTTACGTAACTGCTTGAATTTTACATCTTCCATCTTATTCTAGGTGATGTGTACCTATTTCCTCTTCCAAAGGTGCTACATGTCAGGGTTGCAACTTCTTTACTTTTTTTTCGAGCTTAAAGCATCCACTTTAGGCCAGTGAACTAGATATCAAACTTCTTATGTGCTAAGAAAACAAAGGAGAAGAAAGTAGTAAGGTTTTTTATCTCATTAAGTAAGCTCTAGCTAATGATTAGTTGTTAATTATGATGATTTTGCGGCTAATGATGGGGCTTAGGACTTTGATTATCTCGGAGGATTGGAATAACTGCAATTGATAATAGTAGGATTTGCCCATTATTACAGCGGGTTGAACTGATATAGGTTCTTTTGAGTTCAACAAACTTATCATGGTTGGATTTTGATCTGAATTTGATGCGTTTTCTATCATCTTTTAGGATGTATGAATGAGTCTTTTTTTACTTATTTTGGAAGCAGTTTCTTTGTTTCTAAAAATTGATTATTTAGATTTTATGAGTGCTGAATTATTTGGAATTGCTTGACATTTCACAATTTGTATTTTCTTTATATCTATTCATTAAGAAATTAAAAAATGGTATATTCTTTTTTGCAGTCTTCTCTTTTTTCTCCTCCCTCGATGTCATTCATTCCTCTCTCTCAATTTTTTTATTTTTCATCTCATTACCCTTGTTTTTTTACTAGTGATAAAAAAAGACTAGAGTTTACACCATGAACATTCAATGCCTAAATTCTTCTACCTTTTAGCTCCTCCATTGAGATCCACACTCAACATTTATCATTTACAAAACTTCCAAACTTTCATACTAATCTTATTTTTACAGCTATCATTGGAGATAAAATCATCTCTACTATTGACGATGGATACCTAAGATGTCTTATAAAGTTTAAAGAAACGTCTTTTGTATTTCTCTATATATTGTAGAGCAATTATGCCCAAATTTGCTTGGTAAATAATAACGCCGTAGGTACATTGATGCCAAATTTTATTGTTTTGGCTACCTGCTATTTCATAACTACTAGTAAATCACAATTTACTTTGTTACAGGAATATTGGTTCCCCTTGCTAATACTTTTTGTGATGCAAAACTTCATTTAGAACTTCTGAGTACTTTTATTATGTGTTTTCATGTTTGAACGGCAAAGTAGACCTACATGGAGGCATGGAAAGTGATTTCTACATTGACAGTTTGAGTTAATAAAATTTGGGTTAAAACGTAAAAATGTATCATAACTGTTGAGTTGTGTAACTTTCGAGGATTCTTTTTTTTTTTTGTTATTATTATTATTCCAGGTTCTTTTGCAACCAGACCCTTTTCTTAATGAGCTGACCAACATGTATGAGAGAACCAAAGAGAAGGGCTCTGTTTGGGTTACTTTTAAAAGATGTACGTCTTGATTCTTTCCTTCTTCATTCAGCAGAAAAATCATTTTGTTTATTTTGTAAGCACCTTTGTTTCATGTGAAAACTAATATCTTAATGCTTCATTGTTTAAGCATCCATGAAACCCAAGGCCAAGAGGAAGAAGTTGGAGTCTGCTGGTGAAGTCATTGAATATAGGTGTCTTGTCCGTGCCACTGATGCAAAGAAAACCATCTCCACTTCGGTACTGTTCTTCCATTTATTATGTGCAAATAATTAGTATTCCTAGCATGTTCTGAACTTTATGTATATCATTACAACTGATTGCTTATGCTTTCACAGGATGCTCAAGGATTTTTTATGCACTGGAGAAAGTGTTATTTTTCATGTTTTCTTGTTCAACTTGAATTATCTCTTAGATATTGAAGCTTTCATTCTAATATCGCTGTAATTCGATCTTACAAATTACATGAACAAATTCTTTGTATTTGAGCAACGATATTACATGACACAATTGCTCACAGTTCTGCTAAATAAGGTTTAGAACAATCCGAAAATGTCAGATTTGGTGAAAATAGTGGGTTTGCAGATCTGTGTGATTTATAATTTATATTTTGATTCTTGTAATCGTTCTTTACTTATCATTATTGGTATTTGGCATGCATGCATGTTTGTTTTTAGCTGTATGTTTTACTTGCTTCGCCCCTTATATATTTATGTGCTTTGTACAAAGATTATGCATGCTTGCATGGATGAATGCAATATTTATGTATGCATGATGGATGGATGGATTGCATAGACATTGGAAGATCACGAAGTAGTGAAAGTGTTTCTTATGTTTAAATTTTGTAATTTGGTTTAATGGGTTTCCTCCTATTATTAGCATAAAATTTTGTATTTAGTTTGTTTGCATTATGATTTTATCATGTATAGCATTTAACTTGAAACTACGCCATGTGAAAGGGATGTGATATGATCATGAGTTAAAAATAAATTAAAGGATAAGATTTAATAGTATTAGATTAATTGAAAGGCCAGGATTCAGTATTAGGAGAATATCACGCCAGATCTCAGGTAGTAGTTTAGATTGTTACTCTTATTTCTCATATTTGTACTTAATCTTTTTCTTTATTTGTTTTTATCTAATGTTTTTTTTTTTTTCAACAAATTTATTCTTAGCTCTGGCATTTATTCTTAGCTCTGGCTAGAGTATTTTAAATGTTTGAATGACAAAATTGGTGCTTTTGCCATTAGGCTGCTTAATTAATTAAAGCAGACTTTCATATGGCTTGGCTTGACTATAAATGGGCTGTGAGTCGAGTTTGATGAGTTAATAAGCTAAGTTTGAGTTAGCCCTAGCTCAACCCATTAGCTCATGAGCCGAGTCATTTAAAAATTATTATGATAAAATACTTTTGCAATTTTTTACAATTTAATGGTTTAAATATAAGTTATTAAAATATTTTTTGTCTCATTTTGAATTCTTGTCAATTCATCTCTAATTTATTATTTTTTTTATCATTATCTTATGATCGATATTTGAATTTAGGCTCTGTTTGGGGCAGTTGTAGCTTCTCAGCTTTTCAACTGCAGCTGCGCTGCCCCAGGAAGCTGCTGCAAGGAAGCAGCTGTGGGGAAGCTGATTGTCTGTTTGGTGCAGCTGTGTCAAACCAGCTGTCCGACAGCTGTTTGTGGAAAAAAGACCATACTGCCCATGTTTAGTAGAACTGTTGAAAAAAAGAGTATAACAATCATAATTTTGGAACTTCAGTAAGGCCCAGAAGTGTTTAGAACTTCTGTTTAGGAATAAAAACACATATGCAACACAATTTTATATATTTACATATCTAACACATAAACTTTAAAGTTTTACGAATATTTACATATTACTTTAGAGGTCTAATGAAAGAATTGGGTCGCATAATAAAATGCAATAGTAAACAACAGATAAATATTACATTAAAAATATGGTATTGTTTCGGATATTTCAAAAAAAGATGAAAGTAAAGATTACATTAATTAAAACAAAGAAGAGTAGATTGAGCACAATTTTTATGTATTTACATATCTTCAAATGAAGATGCTGAAGAAATGATAGGCACTTCCAACGATGGAAACACATAAACCTTGTCATTCATTTTGTAGAGCTCACACCCTTGTCTCATAGCATGGTTGTCTACGGATTGCCTGAGGAGTAAGAAGCTCCTGACAAGTCCATCCTCGATGCCTCGCCCATTCAAAAAAATAATAAATTGATATTCTAAATATTTTTCTCCTTTTTCCCAAATAATTATTCACAGCAAGTAGAATTAATAGCAACAGAGATGCTTAAAATTTCATTTATAATAAAGAGAAGCTCTTGAAGTAAAGGAGATACGAGAGGTAAAAGCTTTAGCATCCCCAGAAGGAAACACAATAATAGCAGCATCAACAATATCTTCTTCTACAAACTCTGCTCTTATTTTCATAGCAAATTGGTGCATTTTCTCTTAATCAAGCCTCGTAGGCCACATGTTTTAGGAAGATTTACATACATACCATCTTGCCAATCAGCATAGAGTAAGGACAACTGCATACATAACACTTAAACATTGCTACTTACAAAAACTAGCACTGCAATGAATAGATTTAACCATAGGAAATATCATAGGAAATATGGTATTTAAAAACAATGTAATGAGTAGATTACCTAGAATCAAAGGACAACTGCATCACATAATTTTTACAAAGTATATGCCACCATACTACGTAATTTTAGGAAGATTTACATACATACCATTTTGCCCATCAACATAAATTAAGGACAACTGCATACATAACACTTTAACCATAGGAAATATCATAGGAAATATGGTATTTAAAAACACATGTAATGAATCCATTACCCACAATGTGAAAGACTCCCGGATCTGGAAGGAGATGCTGACGATGGCTAAGGAGACTGAAAATTTGATGACTTGGTAGTAGGGACATGATAATGTCAATTTTTGGTATGAAGACTGGATTGGGCAAGGGGCTTTGGCTGATCGGTATGATGGCCTATGGACATTACTCTCAAAGTGGCTGACTGTTGGAATGTGAATGGCTGGGATGGTTACAAGCTGCAACATTTGGTTGGGGAACAGGATGCTGCTTTCATTGCCAAGATTTCTATTATCCAGCAGGGTTTGGATAAGCCTAGAATCAAAGGACCTTTTGGGAAGTCTACTTCATAAATCTTGTTGATTCCCTTATTAAGGGAATCATAGGAAATATGATCATGACCTGCGTACCACTTAATTCTTATGTATCCACTTAGGAGATCGATAAATTTTAGGAAGATTTACATACATACCATTTAATTCTTATGTATCCACATATCTAACACCTAAACTTTAATTTTTACAAAGTATATGCCACCATACTACTTAATTTTAGGAAAATATACATACATACCATCTTGCCCATCAGCATAAAGTAAGGACAACTGCATCACACAAATAAAAAAGAGCTCAAAACAACTACTCAGACAACTGCACTTTTCCCATACCACTGAAACATCTGCAGCAATTTTATAAAAGAGAGGAACAGCAATTTTATAAAAGAGATGCAGCAATTTTATAAAAGAGAGGAAGCATAAATGTGATGCATGTAAATCTTAAGAAGTGGTATGGGAAAAGTGCTAAATTCAAGCTAAATTAGGCAATGATGGTATGTATGTAAATCAAAAAAATTCAATCATTTTCATGATGGATGCAATAATACTGAATCAACCCAATGCATTTGTATACCTTTCAAAAATTCCAAAACATGTGTTCTGCAAATAGGCTGCCTTGCATAACTTTATTTGAGAAAGTGGTAATAAAAAGTATTCAAGTGCATGAGGGAAAAGAAACTCCAATTATTTTTGAGCTGCATTTTGATGATAGAAAATGATGTAAATTAGCATTAATAAAAAAGTTTACATTATCACTGAAATCCAAACACTCCACCTGCATTCATAACAAGGAAATATGTACGTGTTAAAAGATGCAATGAAGAAACCTGCTTTGTTTAGTTATGTTGTGCTATGTTGTGTGCAAGAAGAAAACTTCTGCATCAGAAAATAAAGCCAACATTCAACTGGAATGGCAAATTACGAAGGAAGATTCTTCCATGACAACAATATTTGAGAAAGCATTTCATTCAACTCATTGAAACAAATGACATAGCAACCAGATCAGGGCTGACAAAACAACTAACAGCAAACAACAGAAGCAGAAAATAACAGGGAACCAAAACTAGGATACATAAGGCATGTAAAAATATAAGAATTCTGTGCTAAGTATGTAAATGCCCAATACTTGCTCAATTATGTTTTCAATTCCTGCAACGACATCAAATAAAAACTTCTTTCCTCTTTACTTGCTTAAATTTTAGTAAACCAGCAAGAACAATCAATCTAAAAGAAAATGAAAATGCATACAAGTTGTAAACTCAAAAACACAATTGATGTTAATCAAAAGAAATGCAAAGGATGCTCTTACGAAAAGAACACTTCAATCTCTGTTTCCACATGCCAGATTACTTACTAGAGAAAAGCAAAATAAAAAAGAATTTGATACATCAATAATTTTACTTTCATTTTTATCTCATTCAGAGCCACAACCTTTGATATCTTGTGGAAATCGGGGTATTGGGAGAATAATGGAAACCTAAAGATACAACCACAAACTTCAATTTAAGGGTTACTGGTAGAATAACAGAGATAGCTTGTGAAAAAAATAATGGAGGTCGCTTACTGGGAGAATAATGGAGGCCGCTTCTGAGCATGAAGGCATGATCAGCGAGGTTCTTGGCAGCCATACCGAGCTCACGTAGATCTGAATTAATGAGATCGCTGCTGATTTGATCCGTTTTCATTGCTAGATACTCTAATTTTCCCATTCTTACTCGCAAGAGAGAACAGACTCGAAGAAGAAGAAAGATCTTGATTTACCGACTCTTTGAATGCTGGCACGTGTTTCCAATCGGCAGAGGAAGCTCGCACTCGGCAGGGCAGGTGAAGGCGGGATCGAATGGAGGAAGGGTAGGGGAGTAAAAAGTTGGAGCGATACTAGAGCAATATCGCGGACCGCAGGGTCTCACCCGTGGCCGCCTTTTCCCTCAGATTCGCGGCCGCCGCGAGTGGAACGCCGCGCCAAACGATCCTATTCTGCGGCCTCCCGCCGCACCGCGCCGAAAACAAAACCCTTAATCTTCTTGTCTATTTCATAATCAATGTGTCTGCTCAAACTTGCTTAATTGAGCTTAAGTTTAATCTTGAACCTTAATTAATTAATTGACCTTAAGCTCAAGTGGAGGGTGACTCAAGCTCAACTCAACTCATTTACATTCATATTTGCCATTTGTATTATGCATACCTTTTTCCAATCCCTCATAAAATGTGTGCCTTAGAAGTTTTGATGCCCCGAATAACTTGGTCTGTAGATTACTTGTATTTAACTGTGGATGCCATATAAAAGTTGAGCTGAATACGATTATGGTTAGGCCTATTGGACCAAACATCAAACTCACTTGTAATTGGTACAATAAGTTTTTTTTTTTTTTTTGGGGGGGGGGGGGGGGGGGGGGTTGTGTTGGCAAAAAAGGGCGGGCGGGGGCCCCCCCGCCGGGAGACTTGTTCAACTTTTTCAAGTTTACGAGAAAGAGTACTGGCAAGTATCTATTGTTCAACTTATGCAAGTAGCTTAATTCTGCACTAGTTTGATAATCCCAATTTTTAACCATCAAAAGTCATTGGTATAACTTGAGCGTGCCAGAAATTTGAATGTTAAGATGGATGCTTGATCGAATGAAAAGATTAAATTATAGATTAATTATATTCAAGCAATGATTGGAATGTCATCTATTAAATTAAAATCATTGAAAATAAAAAGTGGTTTGAATATGTGAAATGAAGAGTAAAATGCATCCATTAGATTTAGCAACTGAGGATTAAGAAGAAGGGTAGACCTAAGGTTTATATTGGTAGGTTTAACTTAACACCTTAGGCACTATTTAGCAAAACTGAACTGAAAATGAGTAATCATAAACCTTTCTTTAATATTTGGGACAAAGCTAATGATGATGATGAATGTTACATTTAAAAAACATGTTTGAAAAGAGAAGCTAAAGAGCCGCAGTAATGGATTTAAGTGTTTACTAGGGTTAAAATGATTTCTCTTGTGCTAGCAAGCTCTAGTAACGCATGGAGAAGAACAATGATGAAGGGGTAATTTAGACTTTTAGGGAGCAATAAAACTTATGATAGGGAAAGGTTCATGGAAAGCATGGCCAAAATATCAGGCACTATTTAGCAAAACTGAACTGAAAATGAGTAATCATAGACCTTTCTTTAATATTTGGGACAAAGCTAATGATGATGATGAATGTTTCATTTAAAAAACATGTTTGAAAAGAGAAGCTAAAGAGCCGCAGTAATGGATTTAAGTGTTTACTAGGATTAAAATGATTTCTCTTGTGCTAGCAAGCTCTAGTAATGCATGGAGAAGAATAATGATGAAGGGGTAATTTAGACTTTTAGGGAGCAATAAAACCTATGATAGGGAAAGGTTCATGGAAAGCATGGCCAAAATATCAGGCTGCATATACATATGAAATTATCAAAGATTTGTGAAGGGGCTTCAATAAGTTGTGACTATTGTAATCCTTTACTTCGTGCTTGTACTCAACTCATTACTCGAGCTCTACTGTAATCCTTTACTTCGTGCTTGTACTCAACTAATTACTCGAGCTCGAGCCTAGCCTACATTGAATCGCAAACTTGATTTATGCATCATTCTCTTTACTTGAATGTTGAACTTCTAAATTTTTCTTTCAGCTCGCCGCAAAAGATTACCTTCGTTTCCAAGCGTCATATGCAACTGTTCTGAAAGCACACATGAATGCTTTAAAGAAAAGGGAAAGGAAAGACAAAAAGAAGAGTGCTGAAGGAGAGAAGAAAGCAGCAGCAGATCAGAACAAACCTACCTCTAAGCCCAATCCATGAAGCACATAGGGCCAAGCAGGTTGGTAAAATGCTGTCAGGACAAAGTACTATATATTTTCAGAGTTGTTTTCTCTCTTCTTTATTTCAGCAGTGTTTCTTTCTTGTTTGTCCAATACAACAGCGGCACAAAACTCCATGTTTTGTTGTTTTTTTTTTGACATTTTTACATAATAATCATCCAGAACTTTAAATATAGCGGATTGCCCCCTCAAACTCACAACACACCTTGTTGTAATACTTTTAAGTTTGTGGGAGATTTTGCAATTATTGAAATTATTATATTATAATATTAATGTTATCATATATACAACATTTATCGGAAGTTTATAGCATTTATAAATAAAGATTTTTTTTTTCATTATTGAAAATATTATATTTTACCATATTTTCCTTATTGTTATTCTTTTTTTTGTCCTTTTTAGCTCGACATATTTACAGGAACATTAATCAAATAAAGATGTAAATTTTCAGTATGGTTTCTAACAAGCTTTTCTCAATGTGCATTGCATGATTAAGCGACATTTTGACTAGCTCAAAAGCTCATGTTTCGCGAAAATTATTATGTATGACTGACTGCACGTTTGAACGGTGCCCTGAATATAGTAATATTGTTGTGAATTGTACAATGACTCGTCTGACCATCGTCCGGATATACAGTTGCTGCACCTAACCCTATACAAAAGCTAACTAAAAAATAAGAAAAGAAAGAGAAGATGACTACGAAAGAGGGAAACTAACATTGACGACGAAATTGTATGGTGCCGAGAACAATTTGTCAAGCTGGAGGACATCAACATAGCCTAAAATGAATTCCACCTTCTTCTTCTCCACAAGAAACATGTATTGGTGCTTAATCATCTGCAATTAAAATATCTTTTTTGAAATTGTAGAATATGACATCTTTATATGATTGGACTTTTAAACTCTTGTGCAACGTCTATATAAAAGCAACAAAAACAAAGCATAGAAATGGAATATCCTCAAATAGATATTTTAAACTTAAATAAGTGTGCATGATAATATTAATATAATAATATATATAATAATTTCAATAATTCAAACATCCTCACCAACTCACAGTGCTACAACAAGGTGAGCTGAGTGTTTGCATGAGAAATTAAGAGATTCAAAGTGAGCATTTTCATTAGAAGCTAAGCAGTCGTCCGTCAATATATATATATAAATAAAAATAGGATTTATGTTACATACAACAATTCCTATATATTCACATATCTAATATTTAGTAATTCAATATTTAGATTTATATCAATAAAATGTTAAAAACATATTTCACTTTTAAAAAATTAGTAATAGTGATATTTTTGATTTGATATTAAAAGTTTGGTGGTATTTCATGTAAATTTTAAAATCTATTTGTTAGATTTATAAATATATAAGAGTTGTGTGATATTTATGTAAATGCTCCCTAAATACAGAATTTATTAGTGAAATGAAAAGGAAGAATTAAAATGAGGAGCACTTTTATAATAATGGAGTTGATGCTACAATATAATTTTTTTAGGCCAAATAAATGTTATAAGAAACTATTAAATAAGATTTCTTTCATATAACCGTATGATTTCAATGATTGCAGCGAGATTAAACATCTTTTAAAAATAATTTTATATATTTATATTCTATTTTTTAATTATAATTTTAATTGATTATAAATTTTTGTATCCTCGTAGATAATTAAATTATTTTAAAAAATTATTCATCAATTATATATGTAATTATTTCGAGCTAAAAGAGTCGAACACGAACAAACAAATCTTAATTGGTGTTCGACTAATTGCACAAAAAAAATTATTTATGTAATTTAACGAGCCTAAAAGGAATTCCTTGCTCTATTAATATCCCTAAAAGTAAAAAATTATTGGGATATTTTTTATCCTTTCGCCTAGTTACCAAACTATCCCTAACTCATCTCTAGAAAAAATTACAAGCTACAGGGGTTTTATGGGAAAGTTCGTTTGCGTGGCTGTTGCTATAAATACTGGTTCTGTGGCAGAGCTAACCTGCCTTAGCTTAGTCCTCTTCACCTGCTGTTTATCAGGAAGACAGGAACTATTAGTATTCGATCTGGTGGGCTATTGCATGGCAGCAGCCAGTTCCAATGGGCGAGCGATAGCAGGAAGCTTCGGGAAGAGACTTACAAACCAGCTCTGGGCCGCGAAACAATGCGATTCTGCTATGCTTCTGATCTCTAGGTATGATTCCTTTCGATATCGATCCCTCTGTCGAGGGGTGATTCCCATCTTTTTTTTTTTCCCGAATTTTTTCTTGAATCTTTTTTCGATTGTAGTAGTTTATGTGTTTAGGGATTTTTGGGAGCATTCGCAGCTCCATCGAGTTCGTATCGATGAATCTGTGTTTCTTGCCGAAACCCCAACCGCT